TTAAAAAAAAACCCCACACACCCCCCCCCCACCCACCACAAACCACCCCCCCCCCCCCCCCCCCCGGGGGGGGGGGGGGGGGGGGCATGAGAGTGAGTACCGATACTTTGAATTCCCCTTGTTTCATTGCGTCAGTTCTTGTTTATTAGTCAGAAATGGTACATGAGAAGACGATGACAGAAAACTAACAAAACAGAAATCATTTCTACTTTGCTTAAAAACCTGAGTAAAAAAGAAAAGAAAACCGGCGTTATAGGCGGTTCAAACCAGGACGAAGAATCGAAATATGGTCTTGTAAGATCATATTACAAGATACCAGAAGATTTCACAAGATCTTACAAGATTGCACAAGAATCTTGGTTCAAGGATCTTATAAGATTTCGCAAGATTTTTCTTGTAACAAGATCTTGCAAGATCTTGTGATAAGGCCTTGTAAGACGTCTTTCATCTGGGAAGCCACAAGCTTTTATATGATCGTATAAGAATTCATCTGATCTTACAAGATCATACGCTTGATCATTTCCTGTCGAATCTCTCTATACGTCTGAAATTTTCTTTTCTGCATAATTTCTAACATTCACACATCTTAGGCGGCCATAGGACCTTCTTCTGTCATGTTTCTTAACCGTGCACTTCATATGTGCTCAGCTGACGAGTGAAGTTGAAAAGAGAAAACAGTTTAAGTTTTTCAAAGAGAATGAGGTTATATATATATACATGAGTGAAAAGCAACGTAGTTGTACAATTGACTTTTTCTCTCATTTTAGCTCTAACTTCTGTTCCCGACGGTCGATTTGCAAAATTCTTTTTCCGTGATATTCTCCTGTCTGTCTCCCACTACCACAGAAAATTTCCTCACTTTTTAGCGACACCTCACCGAGTTATAATTATTGGAACCTAAGAAAACCCACTTTTGCGATGAGTCATCGAAAAGAAAATGGTTTCTTGGTGGATCGAAAATGGAGAAAATGAAAATGTGAACTGCCCATCTGATAGAGCGTTCAATTCTGCACCCAACCATGTGTCTCAGCTTTTCCGAACACTTCTTATTCGGTTGTTAGAGGCACAAACCACATTTGCAGACATTTTGAAGCCTCATCTTAAATTGTAAAGCAAAGTAAAAGACATTTCTGAAAACTGAATACACCAAAAGAAAGAGCGCATCGGCGGACACAAAAAACAGTCGAATCTGCTTGCATCACTTCTTCTAAAGTTGGTAAAAAAACGAAAATAGTCAATTTTCACGCAACCTGAAGCCTCATTTTCTCGCTTTTGTTTTCTACGTAGCTTTCGAACTACTGATCGAATCTGAGTGAAACTTTTACCCAAGATAACGCATATAAACCTGTAGTAGCGGTAGAAATTTCGGACTATTATCGCACTTAAAAGTGGGAAATTTTTACATTGTACAACAAAAACGAAGCCTCCTTTTTTTTGAATCCTCAATTTGTTTTGAGTTTTTTCGATTGAGAAAGGATGAAATATAGTCGTACCATACACCGTTCGACTTGCTCCACGTAGACAAGCAATTCTGGGAGCTTCTCAAACATAAAAAAAGACTTTTGCTGTTAAAGGGACCAATGATCTGATTACGATGTTCATGTTCACTAATGGTTATTGAAGGTGGTACGGTTGGACTCGTTGTCGACGATGAGAGTAATTGAGTAGAAGATACCGCTAATTGATTAGAAGAAGAAGAAGGTACTTGAGTGAATGGTAATGGTAACTGAAGTTGAGATGATACAGTAACACTTCTTGATTTAGCTTTGAGCTGCTTCAAATGATCATCAAATTTACTACGAAATAATTCAACCACATAGGAAACACTGCTCCGATAACCAGGTTTTACTATAAATGTACCATCAGTCAACTTAAATGATAATTTATCACGAATGTTTTCAATATCCGGACAGTCGAGTTTCAAAATTTCAAATACGTCTGGAGTTGTTTTCAGCAAACATGGAATATTGTGTATTGTGTAAGGAAGTTTTACATTCTTTAGACACTTGTGAAGAGCAGTGTGCTCTGGGATGCACAGGAGCAGATAGCTCTCGTCAAGACCTTTCAAACAGTGTGTCGTAGGAGTGATTTTAAACTGCTTTTTTGAGCGTTTCCTCCAACAACCTAACGGCCCTAACAAACTAAAAAGGGCAACATTGATGATGGGTTATCTCAACCTCCTGAGAAGTGGTAGCTGGGAGATTTTTAGTGGATACTCAGAAAAGAACGCTGAGCAAAGTCTACTATTCAAATTTTCAAAAAACCCACTTTCAATTTTTTTCTCAATTGTACAACTAAGTTGCTTTTCACTCACATATACTATGCATCGTCGCAAAATTTATGTGGCAGAGATGAGTCATCGATCTTATGAGATCTTATGACAAGAAGTCATATGATCTTGTAAGATCTTACAAAATCTTGTACAAGACGTTGCTGACTTCTGTATATTTTCTTGTCACAAGGGGACAAATACACTTATCGACCCCCCCCTCATGTATTCAGGAATTTTTTATTCCCTCTATCGAAAAAGAAGAAAATAAAGCACTTGTTAGCCTTTTTTCTCGAAAAAAACACATGCTGCTTGAACAAGAAATTCGCCCTCGCCCGACAAGACTAAAAGAAGAAAGAATACTTTCAAGTAACCCCGGTGGCGCCAGGTCGGGATTCCAGTCGAAATCTTGTTTGTCGAAACGGACTGGTGCCTGGTGACTTTGTTTTTATAAAAAAAGTATGAACTAAAAACCTCAGTTTTTTGTAGTTTCACCGCTAGAATGTTGTCGAGTGGCTCACTCTCACCACTCGCCACCCCCGCCACCACCTCTGTTGTTCACATATCTCTTAAACTATTGGTCTGGGACCCTTGGGAATACTTTTAATGAACTCTCCAGCAGCTAATTAGTCGAATTGGGTCAATACATGAGGGGGGGGGGTCGATAAGTGTATTTGTCCCTGTCACAAGGTTATATAAGATCTTACTAGATCATATAAATTCTTGTCATAAGATCTTACCGGATCCTGTTACTTCTTATAATCAGATCGTGGAAGATCTTTCGACCAGAAGTTAGAAGATTCCATAAGATCAAGACAAAAGTCACAATAACCGACTCTTTCGTAAACCCACCTATGTCTTTTCAACTGTACCATCGTAATGAAATATACTGTGAATGTCTAAAAATGATTAACTGGGTCACCCCTAAGTTTAGTGCCATGCCCCTGCCTTCGGTAATTAAATAGATTTTTGCTAAGAATACGTGTTCGCAGCAGAGTCATGTCATTAATTGATTCCTACCGGTGTGTTGTAGGTATGCACCAGTATTAGTATACTGACAAATACTGGTGTCGAAAACAATTTTTATAACAATTTCAATTGGCGTTTTCACACTGAAGAAAGCATTTTTGAGACATGAGTCTCGAACATGAAATACAGTAAATTTAATTTCTTAAAACTTATGCGGTGAAACTGAGTTTGTAGAAGCTGAGCTTCAGGGCAGAAAACGACTTTTTGTGTTTTTAATGCTGAAGCTCGAATTGTATGAAATTGGGCTTACCGGATCAAAATTAGGAAAGTAAATTTGACATCTTTTTGTCTCTAGACTCAACTTTGAAAAACACTTTCTTCACAGTGAAAAATCGAAAATTATGCAAAAAACAGTGATTTCGTCTTTAAAAAAAGATTTTTTAAGCAGCTGAAACTTCGCATTTATTGGTTTGTTTTCTTAGCTTCAATTGTGTTGAGCATATATATTTACCAATTACTATTTCATAACACAATGCGTGATATTCAAATAAACTCAACGTTATGCGTCATTGATTATATTGATCAGCCAAGGCAGTAATGTATGCAATCGCATAACTGATCGCGAACAGTGTGATGACTATAATGTGATTGGTAGTTTTTTTCATCCGTTCATCCATCTGTAAATTATTTCAGTTGTATCTTTCTCCCTTTTGATTCTTTATGTTCATATCTTCCTCTGTCGATGCCTATTTGGCTATAAACAGTTGAGAAAAAAGGAAGAAACAATAATCCAAATGGAGTCAGCGTCATTATCTTTCCTTGAATGACGATGCAGTGTCTACTTCCTCAACTCCTATGCAGTGTTTCTAATGATTAGTGGGACAAACGAGAGCAAAATGGGTTTCCACTTTGAATAATGAATTTCCATTGTTTTCCACGCTGAGAAAAGTATATCCCACTTTTGTTTTCCACTTTGCTTTTGAGAATTTCCGTTGTCTTTTTTTCATATTTTCTGCCTCAGAAAAGTAACCCATCGATAACTGTTTGTTGAACAAATGTGAGCGAGAGAACTAGTATAATTTCTCTTTAATCCTCTAATTTTTATCACGATCCGACATCGCTAGTGTCTGACGATTAACATCAACAGGATATTAGGAAGAAAAAAATCTCTTCTAGCCGCTATTGGACAAAAATTTCAACTGTTCCCATTTTGGCCACTTTACATTTCGTATCGAAGTGGAAAGTTCCACTCTGGAAAAAATTTCTATTAAAAACACTGCTCCTTTGAAATATGCCAGCAATAAGAAGAAACCGTATGAATGTAACATAGCTGATTTTGACAAAAAGTGTTCATGGCTATCAACAGTATGGCTAAAATATTGCTTAAAAATCGCTTCTGTAAACATCTCTGGTTATAATGATAATCAATCGAATTTAAAGTTCATGTGTGATACGTGATACTGTCCATGTTTTAAAAAAGCCTTAGATGCCCGGGTCTTCAATTGCCCGCGTGCCGAGCCTCGAGCCGTGGCTCTACGCGATGTATCAACTGCGATCTGATTTTATAATATTATTGTCGAGCCGAGCCGAGCTACGAGTCGCTATCTGGCGAGCTGGGGGAAGGCATGGCTCCCCCACCTCTGGTATGCATCTAGAGTGAGAATATCTTTGAAAGAAAACAAAATTCATATCACTAAAAATCAACAAACAGAAGCATACTTTTAAATATGTAAACATAAAAATCCAGACTCTGCTAGCAAGCTTAGAATAATCGAAAAACTACATAAATACAACGATAATGCGGTCCTCGCTATAGTCAAAAATTAATCTGGGTTATAAGTGATCACATACGCACGGCACCCATATTTTCAGAAGTAAATATTTACATGAACGCTATTAATTAGTTCATCGACAAGTTCAATTAACCTTTGATCAATGTCAGATGTCTTAAGACATTTTTCAACAATTGCAGTAGAGGACTAACGAGGAAAGAGGTCTAGGTGTCGAATCGCTTTTTACATCAAAGGCGTGAGAATATACCTAATCTATGGTGCTGACGCTGAAGATGATAGTGAGAGCCGTTCTTCTGTGTCTAGCAAATGACTAAGTCAGAATTCGGTTTTGAGAAAAATTTTGGAGCTGATTCTTGAGAAATCCGTCGTGACCCTGAAGAACCGCTCTCACTCCCATATTCAAAGTCAGCACCATAGATTCCCACGCCTTTAATATAAAAAGCGATTAGCCATCTATAGTTGTTCTTCTCTCACAGATATTATCTTGACAGATGTCTATGTCAATGCCTAGAAGCTACGACTCCGTTTCATCGGTCCTGCTTTCCCTTCAGAGATGTAGACGAATTTGATGCTTGCTTACAAATGATGTAATCATCTATCATTTTGACGTCATCATTCGTTGACTTTGTCCTGATGGTTGTTAAGTTTTTCATTGTGGTTACTCATTTTATTAGCAATGATTATCCGTTCATGTTGCATTGCTGTTGGTTGGATGTTTATGGTGTTTCGTCTCATTCGTAAAACATTGATTTTAGGAAAATATTTTAAACCACAATTCATCATGAGACGCTGCACGTCATGTCGGAATGTTGTTGATGTAAAATAGTAAACATAAAAGGATGATGCTGTATCCAGATAGATCAGAAATCCTCCTGCCATAAAGGAACAAAATTTTTCAACTGCTTGCTCTTCTGCACTTTTAACGACATGTCTTGTTAGTGCCCCATAAAATACATCGACAGGATAGGCCAGCGTTGATATAACATACACAATCACTTGTGCCATTAACATGATCATGATCTGATAATCACGTTGTCTGATTCGAACTCGGCTAGAATCAATCATGCGTACTGGATTAATTCGCTGTCGAATTTGACGAAGGTTTTTATATGTTAAAATGGTGGCGATTCCCATCATCACCGGCGGTAGTAGACCAGCTACGATCAGACTGTATATACTATAAATTAAATCATAAGAACCAGGCCTCAAACATTGTCGATTTTGGATCGTGTTAAATGTAGGAATATGTGCTGGTATGATAAACCAAATAATGATGACAGCTGGTACCAAACGACGAGCTACTTTAATTTGACTAAAATCGCGAATTTTGGACACCGGCGAACAAAGAGTGCAACGATCAATACACGCCAGTACCAGATAAGAACGTCCCATCATCAGAGACGCGTGAAGAAAATATAGTCCTAATTTACAATAGATCATCGAATATGTGTCTGGATTTATGCGATTAATCGTATAAATACTTGGTATAATGCCAAAACTCAATGATAATAAATTAACAACTGATGCGGCTAGAAGATATACTGAACACGAAGTAAATCTAAGCACTTTCCGATTAAAAACGAGAATATTTAAAATGTTCCCAATACCACCGAGTATCAAAATGGGAACTAAACCACAGCGAGTCATTTGTTGTTGAGCAAAAGTTGAAGTTAACGACGACATGTTACTGTAAGATAAGAAATGCGTGTGCCAAACACAATTTTCTTATTCTTTTAAAAGTCATTATATATATATAAGACTGTTGAAAAGAAATTAATTGAAGAAAATGCGTCTTTGCCTTAATAAGGGAAGCTATCAGAAAAAATTGAACACGTGGCACGTAAAAGTGGATTATATTCCACGCATAGATAAATGTGTTCATTTCTGTCCACACGTAGATATACACGAATATCCTTCTTTTTTCTCCCTTAATTGGCAAAAAGAGAAAAAGCTGATGTGTACAGAGTGGAACAAACTTTCGTTTTCTATTATTAGTTGCACAATCCAACTTATATTACCGGCTTGTTCACGTAACGAGACACTTTGCTGGTCAAGTGTTTTTTTGAATTTTTTTCATCGAAAAACCGATAGGGGCACATCACTAGACGCAGCTTTTCATGTTGATCACGAATCTGACTTTTTGTTTTGTAGAAAAAATTAATTTTCAATGTAAAAATTTTAATTTCAATTTTCTGACCTAGACATTTTGTTCAAAGGATTTTAAAGACATACCATTAAATAGAGAATTCAATTCTTTACAAAACGGCTCATTTTTTTTGAGATCTATTTTTCAATCGAGACGCAGTAGCTGCTTGAACGTTTCAACTTCCGCCTTGGTCTGAAAGCCTCAGAGAATTTTTCGAACTTTATTTTCAACCCGAGTCTTTTCAGGAAACCTAGAACTCCACAGACTATAAGTATGAAGTTTTTTGAACAACGTTTAGTGCCTAAAAATGGTGCGACAAAAAAGTGCGTCACAGCGTTACTTTACAAAATCGATCTTTCTAGGCGTGCGGAAGGGTTTGGAAAAAAGTGTTTTTACCAAAAGAAAGCCCATTAGCTCCTTTACAAACTTTTCAAATATACAGCTCAATTCACAGGAAATCAGAGCTGTATCAGGATTTTTCAAAAAATAGGGAGCCTTTCTGTCACAGCGTTACTCGCCGAAAAATCTTTCTGGAAGCTCGACTTTTGAACCGAAAATCTTCATTTTTATATCGTAAGTAGAGTTTGGTGAGCTGTGTCGAATGGCGCCAGAACGAACTTTCTAGCTCCTACAGTTTTCGAGAAAAATGCAAATTACTGTGTCAAAAATGTCACAGCGTTACCTTTGGACAAGCCGTTAAGCTGAATTATATGTTTCCTTTAAAGAACAAAATAACGAAGAATAAATTTTATCTTTTAGTCTAAATGGTTGATCTAGTCTTCTGCCCAAGGAAAATATCACTCGTGACTTTAATGGAAAATCCTTCAACTTGAGGGTATCCCTCTCCTCTTTTTCGGCGTTCCGTAGAAATGCTGTGAAATAAAAACTAAAAGTCGCTAGGGCTTCGTATTTTCAGAACTGATTGGAAACTCAATTGAGCACGTTTTGGTTTTTGTTTCAAGTTTTCAACTATTGCCGTTCACCAGTTTTTCAGAAAACTCGGTTTTTCATTGTGCCACATTACGACCCCCCTTAAACTTCATCCGCTCGAGTTCAAAATTTTACCTTAGGTACTCAAGGTCATTCCGCAGAGATAACTTTTGGGAAATTCTGTTAAGACCTTTCCTGGTCGAGTTATAGGAAAAATACTGAAAAACGTCTCGAAAACCAAGTTTTTCAATTTTAGAACCTCGATAAGTCGGTCGAGTTGAGGCTCGATCCATCTAAAACCTACCACCAATTACATCGACCTCTGACGTTAGTGACCAGACCTGTCTCATATTATAGAGCTCAACAAGCTGAACCGAATGGTAAAAACCAAAAGTCTCTAGCCTTGTTACAAAAAAAGTTATAGCCATTCTACTCTCGCAGCGGAAAAATACATTTTCTGGCGGATTTGGCCTAACTTGTAGAACGTCTGCTGACCACATTCCCTAACGTAGAACCTTGAAATTGGTATCAAACGAAAGAGCGCGTCGAGTTCTATATATTTCGCTGAAGAAACATTATGCGAGGCCTCGGGATCTTGAGATAGCGATTTCTGAAAAACTCGGTTTTCTAGAAAACCCAGTGACCTTAAATTTTTTTTCAGAAGTTTTTCAACCATATCACTCGATAGACCCTTCAATTCTCGACAAAATGAGATGCTGGGCACGTTTCTACGATGTTGTGTCAAAGTGTCATAGAAAATATCATACAGATCGAAAATTCGGCATTAAAGCGAATGAGTTTATATTCGTAATGTTAAACAGCCTGTAACTCGGTCGTCCAAAATTGTAGAAATGTGCCAAGTATCTCATTTTGTCGAGAATTGAAGGGTCTATCGAGTGATATGGTTGAAAAACTTCTGAAAAAAAAATTTAAGGTCACTGGGTTTTCTAGAAAACCGAGTTTTTCAGAAATCGCTATCT